ATACTTCTTCTACAGATAAAATTGAGTTCAGCCACAGAATCATCAGTTTTAATAGACAAGTCATTCAAAAGGAACTGTGTAATGTCAGAGAACTGTACCCATATTCCTGCAGCGGAAGAAGTTCATTTCTTCTAATACATGAGCAGCACTAGGAAACTTGTAATTTGTGGTTGAACTGCAGCATATCTTTCAGAAGCAAACTAATCTCTCACAAAAGAACCAGAGAGAACATTTTGCATTGAACCAACAGTGATAAATACCTTTTTTTTCTGGAGATTTGCTTACACTGTTTTTCACTCCTCTCATTTCCAGCCAGTAAGCAGGTCTGCGAATGGTTCGCTTGCTTCTGGACTCTCTGCTGCCATTCACTGGGCCCTTCGGTGAGGCAGAAGAAATGTTGCTCACTGTGTCATCACAGTTCCTGTTCACTCCCAGAGCAGTAGTTTCCACCTCCTCAAATTGCTTAGACCTGGAAAACATCAAGTTGAAATCCTATGTATATGAACGCATATCTGTATACAGATATATACACACACACAATCACAATAACTTGAAAGACAACACTCCTTTCATCTTCCCAAGTATTCTAAAAATTCATCCCATAGTTCATTGAATCTCCTGTGTTTTGGGAACCGAAAAATGCCACCAAGATAAACCATCTTCAATTACTTCATTACTTTAAAAAATACATCTTTAAAGTATTTTTTTAATAATCTAAATTTAATCTAAAGTACACCTTTAAGGTATTTCTTTAAAGTACATCTTTTAGATAATGACAGTAGTAAGCGTTCACGAGGAGCAGAAAAAACATTCCTTCTACCTCAAACCTTCAACTTTAGAAGCAGGCATAAATGAATCGCAATTTAAAAATATGCATTTATCTTTAAGCAACCAATGTAGAATATAAGAATTTTTCTGCAACTCATATTTACAAAAGAGACATTTTTCATCCCACAAAGGGCAAGATCTCCTTCAGTCTCTGTTCCCAGAGTCAAGGCTGTCACTACACCATTAAAAACCTTAACGCTAGTAAGAATTTTAACTAGCAAGACTTTCAGCAATGAAGACAACCTTCTAGCATATCCCACAAATCAAACTACATTAAGACTAATTCAGATTAATCAATGGCATTGAATTTTTTTCCTAGACATCAAACAGAACTTTGTTTCACTGTTCTCACATATTTCTCTCAGGCTTGACATGCCTGGACATCTATACTCCTCTACATAACAGTAAACTGATGAGGTGGTAAAGAAACACAGAGCATCCATTCTCTGGGCAAATACCATTAATGTAAAGACAAAAGAATAGAGAACAGAAACACTTTGCTACTACAATTGACAAACTGAAATAAGTAGATCACTTGAGTGATGACTGTGATGGCCATTCAATTAATACTCTCCCACGCCCTGAGCTATGGAGCTCACCTTTTAACCCATCAATTCAGGAATTACTAAGTGGGGGGCACTGACAGTACCAGGTGAGATCAATATATACTATATTTAAGGAGGTAATGCAGAAGCATGGGGAGACGAATTCTCAAATTAAAGCCTTTCAGTTACAATCACACCCAAAATATATAGATTTTGAAAGACCATGTGGCCTTGGACTTAAAATATTTATCTTCACAGCATTAAAATCCTTAAAAAAACCAAACAAACACACTGAAGTGTCAGAAAAGCACTTTTCCCATAAACCAATAAGCAGAGTCAGTTGAGACTCATATCACACAAACTAAAACTGCTGCAGCTCTCAAAATTCACAATGTTATATAAAGACCAGATACAGTTTTTCAGTAAGAATCTCTTAGTTTTTTTCTTGCCCTCAGTCAAACTAGACAAGAAACGTTCACATACTTTTTATTTTCCAAGGACTTCTTGACCTTCTGCTGTCTGTGACGTCCAGTTCTGGCATTCTAACAAAACAGAACAATTCACATGAGCATCATCATTGTCTTCTTTCAGCATGTTTAACTTTCCAGTCAAACACAATCACCTGCACATCAAAGATGTGTATATACCATCCTTCGAAAAGGAAACCACTGTTTTCCACAACAGTGGAAGTGCTTAATATTTCTGATTCCAGTTGAATTAGAACTGGAATCAAAACAGGGATGAGCCCTTCCACCCTTCTCATATGAAAGCCAATTCCTCCTCTTCCAATGGCACATGGCGAAGTGCTTTTTGTCTCCAGTACATTCAGCCATACATACTTTCTGCTTAGACTATCACACGATGACATACATTTTAGATTCTAACTTGTTAGTTTTTACACAGTGCTTATTTTTTCCTTAATTAATTCTTGCATTTACCATGGATGTTGCCAAAAATGTTGTCTCTAGTCTCCTTCACACTCTTTTCATTGATCTCACTTTGCCACACTCCATCAGCTGCCCCGATGTTCACTTTATCCACATCACAGACTCCTTCTTATTTAACAAAGATTTTTTTGTCACTTACCACTTGTTACGCTCCTATTAAGACATGTAATTTAACAGACCTATCTAAATGTACCTCCCAATTCAGTATGAACAACTTATTTGCTATATGTTGCTCCTAGTGCGTGGACAATCGTTTCAAAGAATCCCAGAATATGCCGAGTTGGAAGGGACCCACAAGGATCATTGAGTCCAACTCCTAGGCCTGCACAGGACATTCCCCAAGAGTCACACCATGTGCCCGAGAATATTTTCCAAATGCCTCTTGAACTCTCTCAGCCTTGGTGCTGTGCCCACTGCCCTGAGGAGCCCGTCCCAGTGCCCAACCACCCTCTGGGTGAAGAACCTTTTTCTAATATCCAACCTAAACCTCCCTGGAACAGCTCCAGCCGTTCCCTGGAGTCCTGTCCCTGGTCCCCCACAGAGCACACACAGCTCAGTGCCTGCCCCTTCCAAGAAAGTTTTAACTGCAACGTGGTCTCCCCTCAGTCTCCTCCAGCTGAACACACAAAGTGCCCTCAGATTGCCCAGCCCTCTAATTTGTTGAGGTCTCTCTGTGGGGCTTCCCTGCCTTCGAGGAAGTCAACAGCTCCTCCCAGTTATTGATTTTTTTTTTTAAAATTTATGTTTAAATTTAAAGCAGTGACAGGTCGCCAGTCTGATGTCACCCCATTCACTGCTACCTTTTGCATTTAATCATCAGCTTCTTCCAAATGCTAATAATGACTCAATGTCATTCTTGATTTGGAAATCCAGGACAAAAATCTTGGTTATACAGACTAAAAAACTAAAAATCATTGCTCAATAGAACCATATGAAAACCAAAACTGTAATTTACTGAACAGAGGTAGTATTTTGCCATGTACATGAATTGGCTAAGAAACTGGAAGAACAAAAATAAAAGAATTAAAAAAAAAGAAAAAAAAGAAAATATTGCTAAATTACATGTCTTCTTTATGTAAAAATGCGATGCATGTGATCCACACTCCAACTGCCAGCGAGCAAATTCAGTAGCATGCACTGACACAAACATTTAGAGGAATTTTTAAAACTGTGTCTATGGAGCATCAGACTCTCCTTGGGCCTCCAGCCCCAGAGGCTCCTCGTGGAAAGGTTATGGAAATGAGAAATGTGGAGAAACCTCACTGAGGAGCAGCCAGAAAAAAATCAGGGCTATGAAATTACAACAATAAAAATGAAGAAACAGGCAGGTAGAGTCTGCTGAAATTAGCTGGTCTATTCTACCATTAGAAAAACCAAATTGACCGATACGCGGCACATGTTTTAAGATTCGTGGGATTTTAAAAACTAAAAAAATTTGCAAAAAAGTGAAGATCAGTACACAGAACTTTAGTGGCAGTTAAGGATCTGCAATAAAAAAGGAGAGTGCAGACGATCTGTCAGACATTCCGTTCTGAGAAGCTGATAGCAGCAACCGTGAAGGAAAGACCTACAGAAACTGGTGTTTAAATTCAGTTCTGAAAGGTTTTTCATTTATACTGTGTACTTCCCACTTAAGAGAGACCTAATATATATGCAGGAATGCCCAAGGGCTGGACAAAAGGAAAACAAAAAAGCCACCTCCCTTGCACAGGTGAGGAGGGGTAACAGCGACTCAGAGCCTGAAACCTGGAGGATGGCGATCTCTGCCTGCCCTCGGGCTGTGGGCCCTTCCAGTGCGCTGGATCACGGCTGCTGCTGAAGACGGGCTGCTCTCCAGCATCCAGCCCAGGCAGACGGTGCTTAAGCCCAGCACAGGAACTGCCCGATGGGAGGATTCTAACACGGGAACTGCGGGTCCTGAGGTGCCAGTGGGAGCCCCGGGCGTCCTGCGGGCCCCGAGTGTCCTCGGGACGCGCGGGAGGGCTCAGTGTCCAGCGCCACGTTGCCATCGCCACCCACACGCTCCATGAACTGCACTGTCCTGCAGCGAAGGCCTTTGGGCCCCAGCCGCGAGCCCTGGCGCCAGCAGCACCCTGCTGCGAGTCCCTGTCAGCCCTGAGCCTAGCGGAGCCGAGTCAGGGGCGGCCCGGCCTTGGGGCGGAGAGGGGCCGCTGCCGCCGCCGCTACCCGGCAGCCCGGAGTGGGTCCCGCTCGCCGCCCGCCCGCGAACAGAGCGGGGCCGCTCCTCGCTCCAGGCTGGGCCGCTCTCCCTCCAGAGCCGGGCCCAGCGAGACCCTCGGGGGCGCCGGCCCGCTCCCGCCATCCCGGCGGCGGAGCCCATCTCGCGGCAGCCCCTGGCCCGCGGCCCGGCCGCACTCCCCGAGGCAGCCGGCGGCGGCCCCGGCGGGATAACCGCGGGCACTCACCGAGTCGCCGCCGCCCCGCATGGTGCCGGTGCTGCCACCGCCGCCACGTCAGCGCTGCGCCCGCCTGCGCGATCCCGCTCGCCGCTTCCGGCCGGCCCTGGCGGCGCGGCCGTCCCGAGCGCCGCCGTGGTGGTGCCGCCCGCCCCGGGCCCCGCAGCGCCGTGCAGTGTCGGGAGGCTGCGCGGGACCGCGCAGGGTGCGCGGCGCCGGCAGGCCCACAGTCGGGGCCGCGCGTCACGGCCGCAGCGCGACTGCCCCCCGCCCCGGAAGCACACGTGGGAGCTGGGAAGATGGCGGCGGCACCGGGAGGTCCGGAGGGAAGCCCCGTGTGTGTGCTAGTGCTGGGCATGGCCGGCTCCGGGAAAACCACCTTCGTGCAGGTGAGGGACGGGGCGGGGTGGGGTGGGGGAGGACTGCGGGGAGCTGTCGGCGGCCCCTGGGTCTGCCCAGCCGGGCCTGACACCTCCCGTGTTCCCGCAGTGCCTGGCCGCCCACCTGCACGGGCAGCGCTGCCCTCCGTACGTGATCAATCTGGACCCCGCCGTGCACGACCTGCCCTTCCCCGCCAACATAGGTGAGCACTGGGCCCGGCCGGGCGGGGGCGGGTGGGCCTGGCCAGAGGGGCGGCGTGTGCCTGGAGTCCTCCGAGACAGAGCAAGTGCCATCAATAGCGGCAGAACTGGCTCCTGTGCCAGGGACCGGGGGCGGGTACGTGAGCTGTGTGGCTGGGTTGCCCTTAAGACGTTCCAAGTTTTAACACAAAAAGATGGTGGTGGTTTTTTTGGTTGTGGGCTTTTTTTTTTTTTCCTTTAATGTTAACTTCTTTCTTGAAACAGTCTTTAACATGGGAATTTTTAGAATTAAAGGCATTCTTCCTTCACTTTTGTATGGTTTTTTACATCATCTGCTCTGATTTGATGTGTTTGGGTTCTGGAGGTTTTTTTCTTTGTCAGTGATGAAAGTATTAGCAGATTTGATCCGGTTCCCTACATCCACAATAGTGGTAGCCATATATGCTACCAACTAACAGCTTTAAAGCACTTTAACAGACACAAATTTGAGGGAAAATATCTTAGTAATAGAATAAAGCTTATGTTTAGCTATTCCACTGGGCATACCAATCACTAGTTTTGTCACAATCCTGTGTATTACATTTTGTGAAGTATGCCAGCCTGCCTCTCCAGAGGCTAAGAAAAGCTGTGTGAGTACGCAAGTTGTTTCACTGATGTCAGAGTAATAACTGGAATATCCGTTCCAGTGCTGGATTTCTAGTAATGTGGATAGATAGGTGTGCTTTGTTAGCTGATGGTGACCAGTTGGAGTTTGGAAAACTGCTTATGTGTCTTTCTCCCTTAGATATCAGGGACACTGTGAAGTACAAAGAAGTCATGAAACAGTATCCTTTTTGTGTCTAAATAATGATATTTGAAATCTCAAGTTTTGTGAAAATAGTCTGTTATATGCACACTGCGATGAATCACAGAGTCACAGAATCTGCCAAATTGGAAGGGACCCACAAGCATCATGGAGTCTCACTCTGGGCCCTGCACAGAACCATCTCAGGAGGTGGAGGGGGTTGCAGTAATGCAGAATGTTGCGTGAAGATCAGAAGGTTTTGACTGTTTCTTGCATGTGACATTAGGAACGTGTGTTTAACAAGATTTAATACTCCTTAGGTCATTTTCTCCTGTGCTAAAAATTATTCTGCCTAACAGTAAGTTTTTACAAATAATAGGTACTCTGCCCACATATTTTTCCTTTTTTATTTTCTTTTTTTCTTTTTTTTTTCTTTTTTGTTCCTTCAGAGAACTTGTATTGTTTATTTTTTTTGTGGAAGCCAGCAGCCTTTTCCCATGTTCTAACTAGACACATTTTATATGTTATTAGCAAATATGGACATTCCTATTCATCTATTCTGACTGTAATCAAAGCACTGTTGTCTCTCTGAATCTCAGAGACATTGGAACATTGGCTCTTGTTCACAGAGGGTCGATGACTGTAGTGCAGTAACATTACACTAGAGCGACTGCACTTCCAGAGGGCTGCGGAGCAACTTGGTCTCCTAAGTAATAGCTTGTGCAGATGGAGACAAAACCCAGTCCTTGGATTTGACTTACAAGTATGACTCTTAAGTTTAGTATTTTAGACAAGAATAAAGGTGGTGAGGAATAGGATTCTTGATTTTGGCTGTTGTTTGATTTGGGGTTACCAGCCAAACATCCTAAATATAAGTTTCTAATTGATATGTAGGTGCATTATTTGTTTCACTGTGTCTGTTAACCATTACTGGAGTTTTGATATTTCATTAAATAGGGCCTAAGGAGGGTCTGGCCTCATGTCTGGATATTGAGAGTAATGATTGATAACTCGGTGTGTACAGATGAGTCAGTGCTGGTTCTTGCACAGTTAAACCAAAAATGCCAAGGGGAAACCATGTAGCCCCTTTTCCTTCTGTAAATGACACCTGTTTGGGTAAGAGAGAGACACTTTGTATTTGTTATGCTGCATCACTTAGAAGATTTAATTTTTTAGTAGGGGGTTTTGTGTCTTGCTTCAAGGTATCCAGTGTGCATTGCACATGGCCAGGTGTTGTCAGAGTTGAAAAAGAAGCCCTCTGGGGTCTGCATAACCATCTGCTTTCCTAAATGAAGCATCAGATATGGGCTAGGCCCAAATGGTGGAATAGTGACCTCTCTCAATCTCTTTGCTACAAGATTTGACCAGGTACAAGGTTGTTTCTGTGTGCTATTCCTATGATCTGTGCTGGGCACCTATGATGACAGTGCAGCTTTGTCTGTCTGGAGTCTCAGAGGGTTAGCCTTCTAATATTTCTGGGGAGTTATTCTCCTTACAGAACCCTGCATCTAACAATGCAGTCAGAATACATTAGCTTTCATTTGAGAGATTTCAGTTTTTCAGCTTTTTTTTAAAAGTAAAATTCAGCAGTCACATGTACAGAACATTCTTTAGTCTTTGTATAGGACTGTTGCACCAAGTTCACTATAAAATCTTTCATATGAATGCTCTGGTTTTGAAGTAGGGAAGCTCACTTCTGGAAACAGGTTAAGTTTTCCTAATTTCAGTTTGATAAATGACAGCCCTCCTAAAGTATAACAGTAAAGCAGCTCTGGGGTGGGGACTGTTGTCACGTACCTAGAAAATCTCTTAGTGAAAAGGCAAGGAACAACTGCCGTTGTTCTACCATTTCTTTAGCCAGGTACTAGAACACAGACAAAATCAAGGTTGTCTTTGACCTGTGCAGGATCTGAGCATTTTTCACCCTTCCTTAGTAGCTCATTCTCACTCTCTGAGAAGCTTAAAGACTTTAACGTTTTGATACACACCTGCAGCTGTGCAAGTTAATGTAGTTTCTGTTATGAAATGAAGGTTTCCTGTTGTGAGCCTAGATACCAAGTATACTCTGCTTTCTCAATCAGGTGATGAAGTTTATTGAAAAAAGACAAAATGCATCCAAGTGAGTACATTCTACCAAGTTCTGCTTTTCTGGGATAAGCGTGGGAAAATAATGTGAAATTCTAAAAAGCTTCTCTCCACGTTTTCTAGTTGTTTTTTTCAGCCTTGGTATAAGTTTTGTGTAGAAAAGGGCATAGAATTAGAACAGATAAACTAGACTTTCTTTGGATAGATCAAAGAAAAGTCTGCTGATTAGAGTTCTGCTTTTCTTGTCTTCCTTTAGACTGTCATTTTCTGTCACATACTGTTCAAATAGGCAGCAATTAGTTCTTCTGAAGATGCCTTCAACTCAAGATAGTACATGCTTCTTAATTACAAATTTCTCACAGGAAACTTTCAGGCGTGCCCATAAGTGTCATCACTGTTTGGGAGAAGCTTTTCTGTCTGCAACAGAATAGTTATGTAATTTGCTATTGAATGCCGGTGGTAATCTAGTCAGAACAGGCCCCTGTGCTTAACTAATTTTCCCTTGTTGTTGTTTGGGGTGACTTCTTACCAGGTATGTTATTATTGACACACCAGGGCAAATTGAGGTATTCACCTGGTCAGCATCAGGAACCATCATAACTGAGGCCTTGGTAAGTGCTTCTTGCATGACTGAACAGTGAAGCTGTGTGAATGACCTGGCTATTGATCAGTGTACTCCTAATTAAACTGTCTTTTTCTTTGGGTTCCCAGGCTTCTTCTTTTCCTTCGGTTGTTGTCTATGTGATGGACACCTCTCGCAGTACTAACCCTATCACTTTTATGTCCAACATGCTGTATGCCTGCAGGTAGGAAAAGCTGGAAGTGCAGTCCATCTGCTCTGACTGCTGTGTCTCTTTGGTAGTTATTTTGGAGGGGAATCATAGAACGATTTGGTTTGAAAGGGACCTTTAAAGGGCACCCTCTCTTCTGTGGGCAGGGATACCTTCCACTATCCCAGGTTGCTCCAAGTCCCACTCAGCCTGGCCTTGAACACTTCCAGGGATGAGGCAACCTCAGCTTCCCTGTGCAGTGTGCTCTAATATCTCTGCACTATCATCGTGAAAAATTTTGTCAGTATGTCCCTTTCAGTTTAAAACCATTATCCCTTGTCCTATCACTACAAACCTTGGTAAAAAGTCTCTCTTCATTTTTCTTATAAACCCCTTTGTTTCCTGGAAAGCTGCAGTAAAACTTCCCTGAAGTCTTCTCGAGGCCGAGCAACCCCAACTCTCTGGCCTGTCTCCATAGGAGAAGCCTTCTAGTTCTTTGATGGTTTTCATGACCTCCTCTGGGCCCACTCTGACAGGTTCATATCTACTGTGGTTCCCAGAGGTGGACGCAGTGCTCCGGGTGGGATGAGAGCAGAGTACAAAGGGAGAATCATCTTCCTCGCCCTGTTGCCCACACTGGCTTTGATGCAGCCCAGGGTATAGTTGGATTTGTGCTTGCGAGTGTACCTGGATGCCTCATATCCACTTAGTCTGCTGGTTTGGTTATTCTCTTAGTGGTTTTCCCATTGGAGAAGCAGAATAATTTAGGTGCCAATGGACATCTGGAGGCCATTGGGTCAAAACTTCCACTGAAAGCATTAAATAATCCATGAGACCTTAGCGTGAGGAAGGCTGGTTATATTAGGTCTAACATATTGCCTATTGCTTATAAAACCAGTTATCTAAGATGAATCAAGATAGGCTAGTTTAAGCTCCTTCTTGTAAATACATAGTATTTTTTTTTAATGTTGTTGATACTTTTAAGCAATTCTTCAAGATTAGCTTGGAGTTCAGCATAGCATGGAGCTCTTGATTTATTGTCTTCTCCTTCGTACATGAATTTATCTGTTTTCTTTGATGTCATTCACCGGAGACTAAATACCTATGGAACCATCAACATAGCTAGAGCTGTCATAATTCATGGTAAATGTTGTTTTCAACAAAACCTCCCAAACCTTGTACCAAGGTCAAGAGCTGTATCACTGTGAAAGGAGTGTGCAAACTGTATCTTACTACGTATTGCATTTTCTGACATTAGTTTGAGCAAAGGATCATAGAATATATACAGTGAAATGAATATGTGAGCTCACGTGTCAAGGTAATTTTGCTTTATAGATGTTGTGTGTTATTTGAGTTCATTGCTCAGTTCACAAATAATCTCTCAGAACCTAAGGTTTGAGTCAAATGCAAAATGCACAGAGAGTTAAAAACTGTGGTCTTAGCATCATAGAAAATGGTAACCAAACTCAACTGGATGTGTAGGAGATTTTATATCTTACATCTTGGAGGAGAATATTTTGTTCAACGATTGTAAGCAGGACCTGGGGGAAAATTACGTTCTATTTGGTGCAGAAGAAAAGTAATTATCTTTTGAAGTCAAATGTATTCAGTTTTGCACAAGTATTGTCTGCCTTATGTTTAAGTTGCTTTCTATTCTAGGAAGTTTTAAATTAAACTTTTATTTTGTGTCTCCCCCCAGTATCCTGTACAAGACAAAGCTACCTTTCATTGTAGTCATGAACAAAGTAAGTTAAAGCTTTGGTTTCTGTGTCCTCATGGGACATTGTTCTGTTTAGCTTCTTTGCTGCGGTGTCTTTGTCTTACCACAATAATAGATTTTTCTAGAAAAGAGAGACTGGGAGGGAGCTGCAGGCTGATAACTGAATCTAAAAAGGGTCTTTAATCTGGTATCCAAATGAACAAGAATAATCAGGGATGGGCAGTTGCACCCAGATATTCAAGTCAGAAAGGGTGCTAACAATTTGAAACATGTTTTGCAGCTTAAGCCTGGATTATGGGGAAAGGTAACTCTATAAAAAAAGGGTAAGGTCATGACAGAATCTACTCTTATGTTCCCTGTTTCCCTAGAATATTTATCTTCATTATTATTTCCACTCAACAGCAGGCTAATGACTCACAGTGGGAATGGTGTAACACCTGCCTGTTTTGACTGAGGAGTCCCACCTGTTGTAGCAGGCAAAACTTAAAAAAGGTGTTTGGTGCAGTATTTGCTAGAGAGCAGATACCTAGTCTAAGGATACACATCCAGTGTTGTGTAAGGAACTTGTAACCTTAATGCTTTTGAGCTTAACAGCTATATATTTAAACATAATAATTTCAGATATTAAAAGAATCCCATTAGATTTTTGGTACGAGTTACTGCTCCCCACAGGCATCCTTTGTGTTTGTATCCCCAACTAAGCAAGCTTTGTGTGTGCACACACATATGCCATGCCTTGACTGGGATATTTTTCCTCACACTAGCCGAGTAGGATCGGTGTCTGCTGTGCTCCAACTCCACCCATCCGCCCAGTGACCCATATATTTGGTATCTGCTTGCTTACTGAGCAAGTTTTTTTACTCTGTTTTCTTTCTAACTCGAGACAGTAATATTAGAATAAGCTGTCTAGCTTTTTTTTTTTTTTCCTGTAGAAAAAGGCATGGAGTAGGAAAACAATTCTCTCTTAAGAAAATACACTTTTTGGAAGACTAAAAGAAGTGGCACTGTGTGTGTAAGGAAAGGTAGGCCTGAGGCTTAGGATTCATAATTTTAAACTTCATTTTGATCTCAGGTTTAGCCTTTGCTAAAAAGTAAAGCCAATAGCATTGGAAGAATTTTTAACGAAATTTAATTAAATTTAACTTTTTAAAATTGACTCTTGATAAGAATGGAAGAATCCCAGGGAACTGGGATATACGTGCAGTGACAAACCCGTAGACATAAAGAATTTTAAGATTTGGAGAGGGAAAAAAGAGTCATCTGTAGAGGGGATTTAATTTTATTTACAGAATTTAATCAAGGTAACTCTAAGTAGTCAGGCTTTGACCCTTGGTGGATTCAATTCTGTCTCAAATCTCTTGAGTAATGCTAGGTAATAGTTTATCTTCCTCCTTCCCATTGGTGAGGGAAATGAAATATATCAGAGTTTCAGGCACCTCATATTGTGCTAAGAGTGGATATGCACATAGCAAGATGTTTATGAAACTCTGTAATAGACTGTTTTCATATGAATCCATGTAAAATTGCGGAACCATCTCACCTGTTTGTGTCAGTTGTCTTGCACTGAGTTTAGATTATAACTTCTTTGGGCCAGAACACAGCTCACTTTCATAAAGATCCCGTGGGCTGTTACCCAGCGTGGAAGTGGCCCTCGCTCTCCTGGCCCCTGGGCAATCAGGAAAGCTTGGGATCTTCAATGAGGGTTGTTCTTGTCTGGCCTCAGTCATATGATCTACTATTTACACCTTAAATTTCATTGTACAGTATGCAATTTTTGGATGCCCCTTTCCAGTAAAACCATAGGAGGCTTTAGACTTGCACTTGTTTCCTTAAACAACTGTTTCCTTCCTAAACCTGGAGTAGTGGTTGTTTGTCTTCTCTTCCTGTATTCACATAGTTGATTGGATAAAAAGTGAACTTGCAAAACTTCAGACCAGAGCTGAATATTTTTAAAAGATCAACATTTCAAAAATAAATTTAACATGGATTTTTTTTTAAGTATTTGTCCACTTAACAGCCTAAGGGTAAGATTATTATTTCTGAATATTTTCCCTTCTCCTTCCAGACTGACATAATTGACCACAGCTTTGCAGTGGAATGGATGCAGGACTTTGAGACTTTTCAGGATGCCCTGAATCAAGAGACCTCCTATGTCAGTAACCTGACTCGTTCTATGAGTTTAGTGTTGGATGAATTTTACAGTTCACTGAAGGTAAAAGTCTTCCTTTTTTATTACCTCTCATAAAAACCTGGAGAACAGAAAGTTCAAGGAGAATATTTTTGATGAGTATAAATGCCTAGTGGGAGGGTGTAAGGAAGGCGAGCGGCAGACTCTGTTCACTGGTGCATGGGGAAAGGATAAGAGGTAATAGAAACAAGGTGAAATACAGGAAACTATGTTTAAACAGAAGAGAAAAAAAAATTAATTTTACCAATTCTACACTGCAACAGATGGTGCATAGAAATTGTGGAGTCTCCATCCTTGGAGATGCTTAAAACACTTTTGCTCAGGCAAAGTCGTGAGCAACCTGTTCTACCTAATCCTGCTTTTTGAGCAGGAGAGACTGGACTAGATGATCTCCAGAGGTATTGTCCAAGCCCCACCATTCTGTCCTTCTGTAAAGGGACTTTGCACTGCCCTTTTGAACTGTAATCTGTTGATGACCCGTGTTGAGGATTTGCTGATTTGAACATTCAATAACTGTAGTGGCTTGTCACACCGAGTGGCAGCCCAAATAATTTAATATTGAACTGTGATTAATCGTGAGGTGAAGGCTAAGATAGGCTGGTAAGAGGCAGTGTTCTTTGCTGCAACATTTCCCATCTGAGGTAATTTTCCTTGTTCTGGAAGTGTCAAGTACCAGTTGGGCAATTTACTACATAGGAAGAAGGGAAAGAATCTCAAAAACAATTAAAGGAACAAAAACACCCTTTATATTTGCTTGTGCAAGAAGAAGATTGTTCTTCCACTCAACCAGGTTTTGAGAGGACAAATTAATTGTTGCTCTGAAAACACTGATCCTATAGTCTGTGCTACAGGTTTTAGCTGATTGTTTGTCATCAGCTTTTACTAAAGAAAAAGCAAACCTTCTTGACTGTGTGGATATTACAAGGACGAATTGATTCCGTTCATTTGGATAATGATAGTTTAGCCAAAACTATTGTAAAATATTCTAAGTGTTCTGTGTGGAACAATATACAGAATTTCAAAAGGGATTGTAGTGGTCCCATATACAGAACTTACGTACTTCCTGTTCCTTATTTGCTGATCAGGTCATAGTTATGTGCCTGTCAGAACTGTTAGAGCACTGGATGGAGAGCAGGTCATATGAAGAGGATTACAGAGTAAAAGGCAGCTTGTACTTAAGTGCAGGGAAAGTATAAATATTTATATATATTGGCACAGTGCTTAGCCCTAATGCTTAAAATCCTTTGGAGAGCTGTCTGCATATTTACTGTGTTAATGATCAGATGCAAGGCTGTGTTGGGACAGGTCTTCCATTTGGAATTCAGTAGTTGAAACTGTCTTGCATACGAAAAAGAAAGAGGATGTATGATTCTGGCTGGTAATAGTCTTAATTAAAGGTATTTTTAGATAATTGATTTAACACAAGCAGAACAAATGGCCTGAAACGTAATAATAGATAAGTTCAAATTAGAAAGTAGATGTGCATTTTGAATTATAGCAACTGATTAAATTCTCCATCTCTTGCTGTTCTGGGGACCTTTTAAACATGCTTTGGCTAAATAAAAAGCATTAAGACAATTCTAGAGCCAGAAGGTCAGTTCTTATTGTCAGTTTTGCTCTTTAATTCTAGTACACTGATACTTGCTAACCACTTATAACCCTAGATGCAGAGTGAGAACTTGGGTTGTTAACAATAAACAAGTAAACAGCAGAAAGACTTGACCTTTCTTTTGAATTGCCCTGTAGTGTTAAAAAATACTAAACAAGCTTCCTTCCCCAAAGAAACACCCCCCAAAATACCCCAACAACTCACCAAACAGAAAATCACCAACAACCAAAAACAGAAGTAACAAACATTAACAGCAAGTAGAGGAAGAATTTGAAAGCAGGATGGACAGAAGCAGAAGTGTTACTGCACACTCTTAGGCCACTGTGCTGATTAAATGGGTATTGTTAGGTTTAGATTAGTTGTTATTTGTTCGTGGTGGGGTTTTTTGTGGTGTTGATTTTTTGTTGTTGTTGTGGGGAATTGTTTGTTTGTTTTTATTTTGGTTTCTTTTCTGTGTTAAAAACCTGGCTCAGTTACTCTCTAGTTCTGGTGTGTTTTCTTTTACAGGTGGTTGGTGTTTCTGCAGTGCTTGGCACAGGACTGGATGAGTTTTTTATCCAGCTTTCTAAAGCTGTAGATGAATATGAGAGGTAAGGGGATAACTTTTGGTCCCTGACCCAGTGACCACTTCCTGAAGATACTGATTCGTGAGTGTGCTCCTTTGATTTGAAGGATTGTACAGTTTCCATAGCCAAGGTAGTTTAACATTTCTAGTATCAGCATAAAAAGCAGCAGTAAAAAGGAAAATTCAGAGATGAATTTTTGTGCTGTTCTGTGAAAAAGTAAAAACTATCTGTGCCAGCAGATCTGTGAAGTAATTTTTTTCTTGTAATTCCATACCAAGGTTTGAATTGTTGCTGTTTTAATGAAGTATGTTCATTTATTTTGCATCCATTGGTTTCAGAATCCAAATATGGGGAAAAAGTACTGTTAGTCTTTCTGATCTGTCTCTCAAACCTGAAAGCCTAGAGAAAACTTTTTTGGGGGTAGAAAGAAGCCTCCAAGATAATCCTTATGTAATACTAATCATGTGTTTTTCAAACTGAATGCACTCTCTTTATTTACTTTTTCAGAGAGTATCGTCCAGAATACGAGCGCCTGAGAAAAACGCTGGTAAGTGTTTTTAGCCACTGTACACCTGAACAGTGTATCTTGGGGTCACTTTTATGCATACAATTGCTTTTATGTTGAGAGGGTCTAACATTTCATTTATTAGTCATACTCATTGCGGGAAAACTCCTGTCCTGAAGGAGTCCACCATTTGCCTTTTTTCCTCTAGATGTGGTGGAGCATATCTTTACAAACATAAAGATTTCGTAAAACAGATGTTATTCACTGTTTTAGTGCTAATATTTGAGCTAATTGTGAGAAAACGATTGGGAAATAAGATTGTGTCTTCCATTCAGATGGATAGAGAGTTCTTAAAAATAAATTTCTAGAGTGATTTGTTGGGACTATACCTTGTATCTTCCTGCAGCAGTGAAGAGTACTAGTTTGACTTAGTAACAAAGGCTGAATTGCAGTGCCAAAATCAGTAGCTCTGCTCACCTTGAGTCCTGGCTGTCCAAATAACAGATCTCTGCAGGCACAGCTACACAGGCTTCCTGGCGCTGCTGAAAATGTCCTAGAATTCCACCATACTTGGAGGTTGCTTTCCATGCTTAGTCAAAAGTTCTGTGTAACCTTAGTTGAAATGTAAGACCTGCGTAGTGACTTCTGCTCTCTGACTAGGGGACAGACTGCTGGGTTTGGGTGAGGTTTCTCTTCTACTCATGTTTTAAATGTTCTCAAAATCCACATGTAAATCTTTATCTACAGGAGGAAGCTCAAAATAAACAAAAGAGAGAGCAGCTGGAACACTTGTGGAAGGACATGGGCAGTGTGTGTGTGCAGGGCGGCACACTGGCAGGTACCTCACCAGGATGATAAAGTTTACTGCAGAAGTTTTCTGAAGAGTTTGCCTTGTGAAGTAATGCAGTGTTTCTTCATCCTCATAGCAGAAGTGTGAAAGCAGCTCCATGTTAGAGGAGTGGGGCTTTAGTTTTCGTGGGATTGGTCATGCTTAGGTCTTCCTGTGTCAGTCACAGGTTTGGAAAAAGCCCTGCTGTGTAGCTAAAGCAGTGGACCTACTAGAAATAATGAAATACTTTAGAAAAGGTGAAACAGTCAGAATATGAGAAAGCTCTGCTGTTGGCTGCACGAGGCGAGTATTTGCTGATGGAGTCTCTCCTATGTCTGGGATCCACAGTGTTAATTGCTGTGTTTATATGCAGATAGAAGTTGTCGGTGCACACACTTCCTTACCTTTAGCAAGTTTGTGTACAACCGTTTCTGTTCCCTTCAAGGACCTGATGATGCTTCTGCAATGGGTCCCTCTGAGCTAATACTAACACGAGGAACTCTCGATGAAGAGCAAGAAGAGAGGGAGAGTGATACTGATGACATTGACCACGAAGGTAAGGGAATGAGGTCTAAAAGCTGCCTGTCTAGTCAAGAAATCCCCTCTGTATTTCATTACCTGGACGGACTGTAAGGAGAGCCTAGAAAACAAGCAAACATTCAGTCTGTAGCAGAAGCTCAGCTGCAATGATCAGTCCAGGGATATCACTCTATAACCTTTGTGAAAGTTCAATTGTAAATTTTCTAATCAAGTAATTAATAGGTGCATAACACACATAAACCAGAGAACTTTTTAGGCTTGGGGCATGCAGTGACCTCTGAACCTGACTGATACACAGATGTGTTCATCATCTTTTTGGCCCCACAGTTTCTGCCCCTGGCTCTCTTCCCTTCTGTTGTGACTGTGGTCTTGGAGCAGTCTTCTAAGTTCTTACAGTGTGATTTTTCTCTTATATAGCTCACAGACTTAATCTTTATTCTTTCCCTGTTCCATTGATAGGTAGGATTACCTATTTCCTTTGCCCTGTCATGTGGTTGAAGACCAAATAGACTTTCTATGTTGCTTTGGCTATCCTGATTGTGGTTTTTTTTCAGTAATACAAGTAGAACAAGTACTGAAATAGTGCTGAACTGTCGTTTTTTCCCCCAGTGACTGAGGAGAGTCATGAAGAACCAGCCTTCAGAAACTTTATGCAGGACATGCGGATGAAATGCCAGAGGAGAAGCAACCCGAATGAATGAGACCTTCAGAAACAGAAAGTTTGGAATCACTTGTAATGGAGTTAAAACCGAAGGAACAGCATAAAGAAACTTGCATGGAACCATGCATGAGGACTTTTATCTGTGAACAACTTCCTCTGATAGATTTTTATTTTTCTTTCTGCAGTAACTGTTGGTCTGATGAGTTAAAGATCTTGCAGCCGACTGCAGTTTGGCCATCTGCCACTGTGGCTTCCTGATGCTGAAGGAACCAGATAGCAGTTCCTTTTCCTGCAAATTCTTCAGATCTATCTGTTTAAAGCTTAGATTTTGAGCTCTGACAGCATTAGCATCCAGAGTACTTGCTGGTCCCCAGTGACACCTTCTGTTCATCGAGTGCAGTCAGGCACCTGCAGCAGCCAGGGCACAACTTGATCGATCTACTGTTTGATGTTTTGGTTTTCATTAAATATATTTTATGTACTAACAAATGCGTGATGGTTAATAGAAGGAGATTTCATGTCACCATTCTAAGGTGAGACTTTTCCCCTGTACTTGCAACCTATCCATATGGATGCACAGCAAATGCATCTTAATTATATTCCAATTCTTGCAGCTTACCCGGTGAAAACAGGGAGGTCCCTTTGCCCACATAGCCTTTCTCTTGCCCCTCTCCAGCCTGAGGCCACTCCTCTGCTCACTCACTCTGTCCTCGCTGTCCTACAGGATGCCTCTTCTATCTTCTCCAATGGCTGCTGCCAAGGAGAGAGGACACAGAGAAACTGGGATGGGACTGGGGACACTGGGAAAGGGA